TCTTCTTCTTCTTCTTCTTTTTCTTCTAGGATCCGTTGTCCGCCAGGGTGCGCTACGGATGCGATCGTGTGGGGTACGGGAATATACAATGTGCACTCGCACGTCTGCGGCGCTGCCTTGCACGCTGGCCTGCTGACCGCCACAGGGGGCGCCACTGCGCTGGTCGTCAGCAACGGTCGCTACTCGCACTACGTCGGCAGCAACCTGCACGGAATACAGTCACTAGAGTGAGTACGCCTCTAGGGAAGAATCTCATATCAGCGATTACAGTTCACGTTAGCTGACGCTATACGGTCGTTATCTCATTCTTTTCAATTTCAGACAATTTCAGCTATATTAGATGAATATAATATATATATAAATATATCCTATATATATAGATATATCATATAATATATGTATGTAGATTAATGTAATAGCTGTAGCTATACTGTTGTTATTGTAATTCTTTATCGCTCGCTCTTGCAGGAGTTCTGAGATTGTCAATAGCTTCCGGTTTGAGGAGGAAGAAGTTAACCTACGGCACACAAAGTTAGCCATCGTCGGCAATGGTGAGCAGAGGGCGCGTCGTCAGAGAAACACAATTAGTCTTAACGTTATCGTTGACTCGTAGACCGAAGATCTATATACTGCGTATCAAAGGAACTGGCAATTGCCATGGTAACCTGCATCATGGGCCAATTTGTGTCAGAAACAAAATTACTCATAACGTGAACTATTTTAGTAGACCTGGCCTCTACACACTGTGTATGAGCACATCGCATAATGTTTCCGTCAACGATATTGAAGGTCGCGACTCCACGGTCGCCGTGGTTACCAAGATGCTCTCGTTGCCATGGTTACCAAGATGCTCTCGTTGCCATGGTTGCAGACTTGGCGTGTCCTGCGGGATGGCAGGAGCGGCTTCCCGGGGCGTGTGTGCGGCTGTACTGCGGGGGCGTCAGCTGGGACGAGGCGTACACGGACTGTGTGGAGAGAGGAACGAAGCTGTTTGCTCCTGACAGCGAGGATACGAACCTCGTGCTGACAGAATTACTACAGGAGGAGCGTGAGTATTATCCCACAGACATCGCAGCAAGGTGTGGGGGAGGATGGTGGTGGTAGATGCCTTCCATGAGGAGTGGTGGGGTGGAGCAGCGTGAGTATTGTCCCATACACCATCCCGCCGACCTCACAGCGAGGTGTGGGGGAGGATGGTGGTGGTAGATGCCTTCCATGAGGAGTGGTGGGGTGGAGCAGCGTGAGTATTGTCCCATACACCATCCCGCCGACCT